CAGAGTATGGAATGGAAATATTCTCAATTGCTGACCATGAAAAAGTTCAAAAGTCAACCATCAGCTAAAATGGCATTCTCAAGGGCCAGTGTTAAAACACTATCAGGAAAAAGGTTCAACAATCAGCAGTGCTTATTACAATGAGATGCTCAATGAAGAACTGAAGCCTAAACTTCCGATTAAATGCAGAGGACTGCTATCCAAAGGCACTGTGATCTTAAAGGACAATGCATATCCCCACACCTCTGCTCACTGTTGATACTCTACAAAAAACAACTTTGTTTTAAGGCATTGAATCATCTTCCCAGTAGTCCTGATCTTGCTCCATCAAACTTCCACCTGTTTTGTCCCTTAAAAGCAGCCCTTTGAGGACAAAGTTTCACCTCTGTGAAGAAGTGAAGACAGCAGTGTACTCAGATCTCAGAGTTCAGCCTAAAACATTTTTTAACCAAAAAATGTGAAAGCTTGTTGACACATGGACAAAGTATGTTGAAAAGCAAGGAGATTATGTCACAAAATGGTGCATTTGTCTGTTTTAGAAGTTGATTAAAATAAATTCTAGAACCAGAGTATGGATCATTTTTTACTCACCCTTGTATACTATCCAATTTAAAATTAAGGTAGCATTCAAGAGGGTGTTAAATAGTAAATTCTCATTCTCTCGCTAATTAGGAAGACAAGATGTGACAAAGTCCATAGGAAATCAAACTGATTGACTAGTTAGATCTTTTCTGAATACAATAGTTAATAGCTGAGTTGTTCCCCTAGGCAAAATTGGATTTCCTCCTTGAAGACAGCCTGGTTTGAAAGTGTGGTTTTGTCAAGTAAATATTTTTCTGTGCATTTAATTGTGTGAAATCAGAAAACTAAAGGAAGACATTTTTCCTTATTTCTTGTGGCACTGCTACCGAAGATTCTATAAATCCCAGGACCAAATTCTCACCTTTCTTTCCTCATAAACAGTAACTTATTTGTCCTCAAAAGAGCTCTGGCACAAGAGAAAGCTTCTGATTGTGTGAAATAGAGGAGGAAGAAACAGTACCTATCATGGCAAAGGTTGTCCTTTGTAATGGAATATATTGCTCTGGTCCACCATTATGATTTCACCTTATATTTGAAGTTCAGCAACATAATTTGACTTCAATACACAGGATATCTCAGGGTTATTTCTAAAAAGTGTCCAGGCAGAGAAGCCCTAAGGACATACAGACCCAGAGTTATCCATAAACCAAACAACATTCTCTCAACAGATGAGGTATATTGTGTACCTGTTACACACCTGAGTGTCCCTGTGTGCTGCCAGCAGTTCATGTACTCCACTGCTAACAGTGAGATTGGAGATTTGAATCCACCTAGAGGCACTTCTTATGGCACTGTGAGATAAATCACTGGACCACAAGGTTGGTTCGAACCATAAGGTTGAAGTTGAAACTCACCAGCGGCTTTATGGAAAATCCCATACAGGGTCGCTATGAGTTGAAACTGACTCAACAGGACTTAACAGCAACAATAGAGGCACTTCGGAAGAAATGTTTAGCAATCTGTTGTTGCTAGATGTCATCCAGTTGGTTCCAACTTATATGTTATATAACACAATGAAACACTGCTATTTCTGCTCCATTCACACAGTGTTGTTACATTTGAGCCCATTGCTGCTGCCACTGTACCAATCCATCCCATTGGGATCTTCCTTTTTATCATTGACCCTCTACTTTACCAAGCATGATGTCCCTTTCCAGTAACTTGTTGCTGTTGGTAGTATGTCCAAAACATCAGAGACGAACTCTTACTGTCCTGACTTCTAAGTAGCATTCTGGTTGTACTTTTTCCAAGACAGGTTTTTACTTGTTCTTCTGTTTGTCCAGGGTTCTTTTAATATTCTTCTTCAATATCATAATTCAAATGTACTGATTCTTCAATTGTCCTCTTTATTCTTTGTCCAACTTTCACATGTTTATGAGGCAATTGGAAATATTGAGGTCAGTCTCACCTTAACTGATATATTTGTTCTTAAACCCTTTAAAGAGGACTCTTACAGCAGATTTGCCTAATGAAACACAATGTTTGATTTCTTGATTACTGCTTCCATGAGTGTTATTGTGGATCCAACTAAAATAAGTCTTTGACAATTTCAGTCTTTTCTTGGCTTGTCAGGATGTTATTTACTGGTCCAGTCATGAGGATTTTTGTTTTCTTTACATTGTGGCACAATCCATATTGTCTTTGATCTTCTTCAGTAAGTATTTTAAGTCCTCTTCACCTTCAGCAAACAAGATTGTATCATATGCACATCACAGTCTATTAATGAGTCTTTCTCCAATCCTGATGTTACATTCTTCTTCATATAATCCATCTTCTCAGATTATTTGCTCAGCATACAGCTTGAATAAGTATGGTGAAAGGATACAACCCAGGTGCATAACCTTCCTGATTTTAAAACATTCACTATCCCCTTGTTCTATTTGAACAACTGCCTCTTGTTCTATGTACAGGTTCCTCATGATCACAATTAAGAGTTCTGGAATACCCAGTTTCTACAATGCTAGCTATAGTTGCCATGATCTAGACAGACAAAAGAAAGCCTTTGAGTCATCAGTAAAGCACAAGTGAACATCTTTCTGGTAGTCTTTGTTTTCAATCAAGATCAATAATCTACTGAAAAACCAATCACTGAAAACCTTATGGAGCACAGTTGTATTCCGACATACATGGGGTCACCATCAGTCAGAGTTGACATAATGCCAACTGGGTTTTTGGTTAAGGGCTAAGTACAGTTGTGGACAAGATGTAGAAAACAGATTGATAGGTCTTTAAGGAAGAAAATATAGGTCACTTGGCCTTTTTTGAATGTCTAAAATTTAGTAATCTCCATGATACATCAAAAATCAACTCTAATAGGCTAATCCCTTTTCTGAAGTTGCCATAGTACATAAAAAAAAATACTGTTATCACATCTGGTGTTTTTATTTTCTTAATTCACAGAATGTCAGCATTGGGGTTCTGAGTTCCAGCTACCTAATTTGGATTTTGAAGATGTTTTAAAAAATGATGAATATGCATACAAGTGGCTCTCTACCCTGAAGAAAGTAGGTATAGTGCGACTCACTGGAGCATCTGATAAAAGAGGAGAAATTTTAAAACTTGGGAAAAGGATTGGTTTCCTTTATCTCACATTCTATGGGTGAGTTGCCAAATCTTTGCATTCTACCAATATACATAAAATTGTATGTGTTTCCAAGAAAGGGAACTCCTTTCAGTGGACATATAGAAATTTCTATATCTTGAGCAAGGAGTAAGATGTGAAGACAAATCTAATGGTGGGATTTCTTAGAGTATGACAAGAACTTTTAAGGAGTCTAAAATCCTAGACTGCAAACCACAAGGTCAGCAGTGCAAATTCATCAGCTGCTCCTCAGAAATACTGTACAGGGTTGCTATGAATCAGAACCAACTTGACAACACGTAACAACAACAAAAACCCAGAGAAATCAGGCATCAAGGACATCAGCCTAGAGGTAAATGGGATGGAAGACTGTTTTCTTATTATTTTTATAAACTACTTGACTTTACAAATGTTACACCCTCGGAAACCCTGTACAGGGTCGCTATGGGTCGGAACCGACTCAACAGCACTTAACAACAACAACAACAAGATTCATTAAAGGTTTACCTCCCAAGAATTGGTGCAAAATAAAGTTGGACCCTGGGGAATTTAAACCAGGCATGATATGTGTGAAGAAGAAGAAGAAAAAAAAGATAAAACTAGCATGCAGAAAACAAAGTCTATGCACTTAAGCAAGTAGCAGGAAATCAAATTGATTTTAACTTTGGAGCAAGAAATTGTCATAAGAATTTCCAGGGAGGTAACTTGAAGAGAGTAATTATGAATAGTGAAACACTAACAACCAGAAACAGTTATCAATGTGTGGATATTTTTAATATTTCCACTCTTTAGAGTGTGTCCCTTTTTATTACTATCCCAGAAAACTGATGCAATTATTCTTGGGTCACTGAATGAAAAACATTGGATGTGAAAGGGACCCTAAAAATCCAAAGTTGCAAACTGTTGAGGAAGAGGCTATATGTATGCAGATGTGTTTTGTTTGGCCCACATCATAATGATTTTTAAAAAAAGAAAGAAAGAAAATGGAATTAGTACTCAATGCTTACAAAAGGGAAGATTTTACATTTAAAAAAAGGGAAAAACTGAATTTCTAACTTTTCTTAAAAAAATCAAATCTGACAACTGTGTTCTAAATCCCTCCCTGCCAACAATCTGCTAGATGTATGTAGAAACTGTCCCTTAGAAAGAGCATATGCTTACTCTTCGGTTTGCCAAGTCCTCCTTGTTTCTACCCCAGCCCTGTAAAGATCCTTTGAGTTTGGCATATTTATCTATAGAAAGACCTTTTCTGTACATAAACAGAGGAACAGATATATTTAAACACTTCAATGATATGAGCAAATTCACAGCAGAAGATCCTGCTCTAAATTGAACCACTCAGTCTCTACTCCCTAACTCCACTGCAAGAACTTGGAGTTACCTTCAGGAGATTTGTGTGGTAAGAAATTTTATCTTCTCTACATATCCAAGGAATTTAGGAGTCCTGGTGTGTCTCTGTATGATAAGCACTGAACTATTAACCACAAGTTTGATAGTTCAAATCTACCAGCCTCTCCTCAGAAACCCTACACCAGGTCACCATACATAACAGAGATTACAGAGGTAATTAAAGACAGAGAGAAGGCAAAGACTTGAAATTAAAGAGTGTCAAGTGTATTATCTGTTCTTGGTCTTTCTCACAATAACTTTGAAGTAGATACTATTATCATTATTCACTGATGAGGACTCAGAATCCTTAGGTAGAAATAAATCTGAAGTCTGGATCTGCCCTATTCATAGACTTCCTACTCTACCTCACTAACAAAAATAATATGAAGGAAACACACACAAAGGTGCCTTCAGACACCATAGGTAAACAGAACACTTCAAAATAAATGTTTTCTATGCTTTTTAACAGCTTTTAGTTTTTGATATCAGACTTCTGCGTTTATTCCAAGACATTTCACAATTTTATAACAGTGGCCAATTTGAGGATCTTTGTTGGAGTTTCCTAAATATCACCCACCCTTCACACTAAGAATCAGTACCCTTGTCCTGATTTATGATTTGGGTTTTGTTTTGCTTTTACAGGCAAAATTTCTATAAAAGGACGGATCATTTGACCACTGATCTAATACTGTGAAATGTATTGGAATAAATGTTAAAAGTCTGTTGTCAAAACAAACAGACCTCTTACTATCATTCAATTTCCATTGTTCAATACCTACCATCTAACCAGACAGGTTTAACCTCCCCTCTTGCACTTTCCTCATGTGGTCACATTTTTTCCCTTGGTCTCAAATTATACCACAAACCTAGAAAAGTCTTTCTTGCCACATTACTCCCATCACTGATCACTGATTACCAAGATGGTTCTATATTCTTTTTGGCAATGTTTTGGCTATCTCAAGAACTTACCAAGACTAACTGTTTTATTGTTATTGTTTTGTTGGTTGGTTGGTTTTTATCCTTTTATGTTTGTGTTTATGTTTGTTTTTGCTATTGTTGCTAAAAAAAAAGAAAAAGAGTGACTATTTCCTCTGACAGCACATAAGTTACCTTCCTCTCTTGCTCCTCTCCCCAATAATATGGAAACATTATATTGACATTTAGGTAGCATGTGGATTTAAAAAGGATTATTTGGAAAAGTGGCTCTTATATTTGAATGACTACATATTTGGTATATATATATACATATATA